GCGCTATTGCATCCTTAAAGCATCCTTATAATGTACTCAGTGTGCTCAGAGTCATCTGTCTTGGATACTAGACTACATCTGAAGAGAACAATGCATGCATGTGCCATTTAATAATCTTTCTAGGCTATGAAAAATGACTAGTTTCAAAAAAATATAGGGTTTATTTAGATAACATGTGACCTTGTAATGTCAATGTATCCAAGTGCCTCTACTCTAATTTAACATGCGAGACAAATATGCTTTCTGATCAATAATGTTTCAACTGCTTAAAGAGGGTGCCTACTTGGGAATCTTTGAGTCAAGGAGTGAAATGTTCAAGTCAAGGAGTCTGATCGTAAATAGTACCCATGAATCTGGCAGTCTATCCAGATGACATATTTCTGAATAGTGGTTCTGATCTGAAGACCTGGATATGTACAAAATGCTCATTACGGAAACAGTTTAAACAACAACAAAAAAAAAACATATACAGCTTTAGCTCCTATATTGTTACTGATAATCAACTGTCTCGAGAAAAATTATGCAATTCAACCATAACGCTTGACCACATAAGGTTGATGAAGAGTGTGCGAGGAGGAATTAATGAACTCTTTTGCAGAGACAACGAGTGATAAAAAATACAACCTCACAAAGAAAGTTATATTTCCTTATCAGGGTTATACACTAAATTAAGAATTCAAAGTGAATTTCAAATTTAAGGTCAAAATAACCAAATCATAAAAAAATGCTCTTATTCAGCTGTCTTTCTAGTGTAGATACTTTAGCCTTATGTTTGAAATTCACGTTGAATTCTCACTTTAGTTAATAACCTTGCATGTTAAAAACCTCTCGATGAAAGGACTAATTTAGCACATGTACATGGAAGAGTTAATAGTTTTTCCCTATATTTATATTACATTATTGGTTTAAATACTTCATTTTGTAAGAGTACAATATGTATGTGTATCCATTGCCTAAGAAAATATATTGATTTAAGCTAGATATATTGACAAATATGGATTCTAGCTGTTAGTAAGTTGGAGGACAGAGATGAGTCATATTTTTGTGCACGCGCATCCAAGTGGGACAGAAATATGTGTGCTGAAGAGATGACCCATTTATGGGATTTAATTATCCAACATTTAATTGTGAGTCACTTACTGAGTGGGGAGAAACGAAACATTATATCTAGTTATACATTTGTTAGTGAAAAAATGATTTATTACATAATCAACTTGTTCCATCTTTCAGATTACAAGAGATAATGTTTGAATAGTAGTTGATAAGTACATTATAAACACTACTGGAAACAATATCTATGAATATAATGATACACATTACAAGAGATCTGCACTTTTTAGCATAATACAATATTTCATAAAATTTATCTTTTTATTTTAAATTGGATTTTCAAAATAGGTCTTGTTTTTAATGTGGTAATATGATCAGAAAAAAAAAACAAAGTAAAAATGTTACTTGCACACTATCCAAAATCCCTATGCACATGTAAATAACTGGATGTTCATTTTATCACTAAAATGGCCATTAGCATGTAAGCTCACCTGCCAAGTCAAGGGAAAGCCTCTTAGATGAGTCATATGCTGACAATTAACTTTGCTGTTTTCAGTTTTAAGGTAAATTTACCAATGAGACAGAGAGGGATATTTTTTTAAACCCCTACACACTTATTAACCCATAATAGGGAACACAAGGGGTGGGCGGCAGCGCTGTGACATGGCTGTGTAATACAAAAGCAAATACAAACACACAAAATGAAGCCCTGCGCTCAATCTCCCACTACTCCTGGGTAGCAGCAATGACTACAGTATACATACAACAAAAACCAAAGAAAATCTTTACTTGCCCACTCTCCCAAATCGCTATGCAATTTAAATAAAATAAGTTTTTTTTAGTAGCACTCCAATGACCAATTGGATTGTAAGCTCACCTGCCACCTCTTAGGCGAGTCCTACACCATCAATTTACCTTGCTTCTTCCAGCTTAAAGGTAAAATCTATAAATTGTGAGTGTGCAAGTAATTCTTTTTTTTTTTAAATGTATTGTATGTATTGGGGCTAAAGTGTAATGTAGTTCTTGCTGTCGCCCGTGAGTAGTGGGAGTTTGATTGCAAGGCTTAATTATGTATATTGCATATTATCAGATATTGCCTCTGTTTTATCTTATATATCTTTAAAAACTGTCTATACACTTTGTTGATCATTTTTATATGTTTAGAACTTTTTTAATTAAAAACAAAAAACATACATATTGCATCTAACCTTGGAAATAATGTACACAGAACATCTTCTGAGAGTTTAAAGAACCAGATGCTGCTTCAGACACAGTGGACAGCGAGGAGCTATTCAACAAAATCACAGATTCTGATAGGTTGCTGACGACCCATGTCATATATTATTTCAATGAAGATTGTGTTGGTTAGTTAAAATTATTAATTAATCTGGAAAGAAATGTTCAAAGTAAAGCTCTTGTTGTGTAGGGGCAATGTAAAATCATGGGTATTAGGCAGGAGTGTCATAATTTTAAGTAATTTTATTAAATGTAATGTTTAAGTTAAATAGGGGTACAGCTTGAAAATATTTTGTAAGAATACTTTTCGTACATCTGTGATCCAAACAAAACCTTGTGATAGATAAAAGGTCCTCCTGCCTCCCTCTATAACGAGAACTTGAAGAAAATGCAGCCGTAGTCTGCTTGGGTAAATGAAAATATTATCTGCTAGTCTATTAAACCCCTTCTCTACCACTGCTGGGTTATATTAGTCATCTTGAAATCTACAAACAGGTTTGGCTTGGGATCTAATAAAGTCACTTAAAACAGTCCTGTAACGGCAATGTATTACTAGCTGATAATAAAGAAGCGTATTTATTGTGCCATGCAAAAAACAGTTGCTTTCTTAAAGGACCACTATAGTGCCAGGAAAACATACTCGTTTTCCTGGGTCGCCCTTCCGCCGGGCTGGATGGAGAGGAAGGGGTTAAACTTACCTCTTTCTCCAGTGCCGGGTGGGGAGCTCTCCTCCTACTCTCCTCCTCTTCGGCTGAATGCGCATGCACGGCAAAAGCTGCGTGCGCATTCAGACAGTCTCATAAGAAAGCATTTATAATGCTTTCCTATGGACGCTGGCATCTTCTCACTGTGAAAATCACAGTGAGAAGCACGCAAGCGCCTCTAGCGGCTGTCAAGAGACAGCCACTAGAGGCTGGATTAACCCTAACATAAACATAGCAGTTTCTCTGAAACTGCTATGTTTACAGAAAAAAGGGTTAACCCTAGCTGGACCTGGCACCCAGACCACTTTATTAAGCTGAAGTGGTCTGGGTGCCTATAGTGGTCCTTTAAACACAACATTTTGGTGGCAACATTTTAAAGAACACCAAGCATTTTCCCAGGGGTGTCCTCTAGATAGCTTGTTAAAAAGTTACTCCAATTCTTCTACATTAAAAAAAAAAAAATGATGTCCTACTGGGTTTTATTTCTTTAAGTCCTCCCCTGCCAAATGCAAAAAAATAGCATACAAGAAGTTTCACTTACCGGAAAACCAGTACAGAATGAAGCTCCCATTGCTGGCCAGCATGCCCTGTGGGGGTTATCCCGGTCCACACTGGCTGGCCCCCTCATATTTGCCTGACACCTGGGGCTGTCTGATGCCTGCAGAAGTGAGACAGGATGGCGGAAGCGCCCATAGGCCGCACACCTATGCAGTCTGGGCAGGACTGTCCCAGCATGCTGGGGGGGACCTTTGGGAAGGCTAGTGGAAATATTATCTTGATTCTGGGACACCCTAAAAAAAGCATGCCGAGCTATCTACTCCACAGGTTGACACTCAGAAGAGCAACAACCGGGAGGTGAGCAGAGCCCCTTCGGGCATAGCAACCATACAGCCACCCATGTCCACCAATACTCGCCCACCTAGGCTGATGGCCATTAGGGGTTATCCCCCAAAGCATTGTCCATGCAGATGGAAGCAAACTGCCGTTGGCAGCCGCACAACATCAAGGTCTCCTATCAGCCCCCAGAGGGAAAGGACTTGGACTCACAGAGACCCAGAGTCCATGGCTGCAAGACGCCAGACCGTACACAGGTCTGGCGCTGGAAGAGGCCTTCGCCTCACACCCCTCTCAACTTCCCAGCATCACCAACAATCTTTCCCAGGCTAGGCACCGGCTGACTGGGAACTCATCTACAGGCATGGCACTTTGGCCCCATTACATGCCCTTCTTTGCCACAATGGACACCATCCAGATCCATTTTAGGCCCTCTAAGCAACTACCAGATATAAGCTGTACCTTTTTCTATCCTTATTGTTTTGCATTTTCTGGCATTCTATTCAATACTTACTTGCACCCCAGCCTCACTCCCCTGTGTGCTAGCCTCAGCTAATTTGCTGACAGTGAGCTGGGATTCCCCTGAGGCTGACATAGCTTGTTATACCATGGTCTTAGTTAGCGACCTCATTCAGAGCAAGATCAAGACTCTGGGTTCAGACCCCAGGGGCACTGTAATAATGCAACCAGTTCCAGTGGTTTACCCCACATGTAATGCATTTCTACAGTAACAATGTTTAGATTATAGCCTACTCTCTACATGTCTAACTGATGTTTATAACTGGATAATTCTGTAGTAATCCAATATCCTGGACATGTACCTAGCTTGACTTATTTTCTTGTTTGCAAACCTAAAGCTTTGCTTACATAGTTACATAGTTACATAGCTGAAAATAGACTTGCGTCCATCAAGTTCAGCCTTCCTCACATTTGTTTTTTGCTGTTGATCCAAAAGAAGGCAAAAAAAAACAGTTTGAAGCACAATTTTGCAACAAGCTAGGAAAAAAAATTCCTTCTTGACCCCAGAATGGCAGTCAGATTTATCCTTGGATCAAGCAGTTATTACCCTACATTGAAAGATTATATCCTTGAATATTCTGTTTTTGCAAGTATGCATCTAGTAGCTGTTTGAAGATCTGTATGGACTCTGATAAAACCACTTCTTCAGGCAGAGAAATCCACATCCTGATTGTTCTTACAGTAAAAAAACCTTTCCTTTGCCTTAGACGAAATCTTCTTTCTTCCAGTCTAAACGCATGGCCTCGTGTCCTATGTAAAGTCCGGTTTGTGAATAGATTTCCACACAATGGTTTGTATTGGCCCCGAATATATTTGTATAATGTTATCATATCCCCTCTCAGGCAACGTTTTTCTAAACTAAATAGGTTTAAATTTGTTAACCTTTCTTCGTAGGTTCCATTCCTTTTATTAATTTTGTAGCCCGCCTCTGCACTTTTTCTAGTGCCATAATATCCTTCCAGATGCCGAAGTACATAACTTTGCATTTTTCAACGTTAAATTTCATCTGACATTTGAATGCCCAGACCCCCAGTCTATCTAAATCCCTCTGCAGCAAAGTAATATCTTGCTCACATTGTATTATTTTACAAAGTTTTGTGTCATCTGTAAACACTGAAACATGACTTTCAATGCTGTCTTCAAAATCATTTATAAACATGTTAAATAGAAGGGGTCCCAGAACAGACCCCCGAGGGACACCACTTGCCACCTCTGTCCAGCTTGAAAATTTACCATTAATGACAACTCTTTGTACTCTGTTTTTAAGCCAATGTTCTACCCAAGAACAAGCATTTTCATCTAGACCGATTTCCTTGAGTTTGAACACTAATCTATTGTGTGGAACTGTATCAAATGCCTTGGCAAAATTCAAATAGATCACATCCACTGCAACACCCTGATCTATGCTTCTACTTACTTCTTTGTAGAACGCAATCAAGTTAGTTTGACATGACCTGTGCTTCATAAAACCGTGCTGATTTTTGCTGATAACCATGTTCTTCTCAAGGAATTCTTGAATATGATCCCTTAATAACCTTTCAAATATTTTCCCAGCCACAGAAGTTAAGCTCAAAGGTCTATAATTTCCAGGCAAGGATTTTGAACCTTTTTTGAATATAGGAACCACATCTGCCTTCCTCCAATCCTCCGGAACACTTCCTGAAAGAAAAGAATCTTGAAAGATTAAAAACAGAGGTTCACTAAAGCTTGATTAATTATATCAAAATGTGCAGTGTTCTCAATAACACAAATATGTTCTACTATGTCTATTCTAATGTTTGCTCCAGCTGTTGTGGCAAAGCAAACTTGCTTGCCTAACCTATGCACAAATAAAATAGAGAATTAAAAACAAAAACAAAAAACCTGTGATTGAACCATTTAAGCTGTTCAGAATGCATGTGCACGCTCTGAGCCGTCAAGTGGAGGGGGAGTAAGATAGGACGTGTATTACTGCAGGGTGTAGGGAGACAGGAGGTCAGGCAGTGAGGGATGGAGGAGAGAGAAGATGGTATAAACAGAGAAGAACTGTTTTGGGGTGCCAAAGTCACATGTGTCGAGGGTGTGACTACCTCCCTCCATAAAAGTGCAAATAACTCTGATTTTATAGTGTTTAAAGCTGGAACATTGCACATCCAGATTCATTACTCCATGACCAAGTGGTCATGGACATTAGAGTAACACATGAATCATTGCTGTCCAATCACCCATGTATAATGCTAAAATAAAAAGTCAAGAGGTAAAAAAGAAATCACACTCATCAATGCTGTTGATAATAGTGTAATATAATTTTATGCCTTGTCTGAACGATTGGGGAGCCCTTTAAAAACACTAAAACAATATATAAAACTTACAATAGGCAATCAATACAGATACAATATTGGACAAATATAGCGCTTCCTGATCAGTAGTACTCTAATTAATGCTACTTGTCCTTGCTTTAGAGAATACATTTTATCATGATTTTAGCTAGACACCTACCAGGCATAGATGTTCATCATTAATCCTCAAGGGATAATTAATTAATATGCAGGGATTCTTAATTGCATTCACAGCATGGGCTCTCTTCCATACTCAGGTTTATTTATGCAATTCTGTCTTTTCACACAATGCAAAATAATCCAGCAAATCTCTTTTTGTCAGGTTTATTTGCATGCTGACATACTACTTGAAGAGAAAATTAAAACACTATTCAGGTTAGACACACTGGTAAATAGAATGCTCCACAGGGTGCTAATACAAGACAACATGATTGAAATCTAAAGTGTACATTTATGGTTTTGTTATTATCGGCAGGGTTTTTCAATCTTTAACATTTGTTTACTTTACCCCACCTGTTTTCATTAAAAAAGCCTTAGGATGCAAGAAAAATTGGACAAAATAACATCTGGACAGTGGAGTCGTTTTATATCAGATATAGCTGCCATTATTTCCTCCAATTAAAGGCTCAATAAAAGCTGCTTGAGAAAACAGAAAGAATCTTAAAATATGAGCTTCTACAGATTGAACCTCGAACGTTCTTTTGTTATTTTAGATTTTGGACCTCCATCATTTCTCGAAAACAATAAGTGACATCTAATCCAGCAGTGATATGACTTTATTCATGGAGCACCACCCCATCTCTTGGTGGATCATCAGGAGTAATGATCTCTTGGCCAATATAATTGTTATACAGAAGCACTAGGTCCCAGGACGTATGTACAGAAAATACCATCATCCGCCTAAAAAAGCTTCTCAAAAAGAAACACTTTGAGTGAGTGCTACGAGAGCGTTAGGTAGACAACCACTCGGGCTGTATTTTTGAAAACTACAGCCATGATAGTGCTGATTTCACTTTACACAATACATTCTTAACCCTTACACAGTAATGTTTTAACCCCTTAAGGACACACGACATGTGTGACATGTCATGATTCCCTTTTATTCCAGAAGTTTGGTCCTTAAGGGGTTAAAGGCTAACGGCTTAAACACTTCAGCCAGCTAAAGTGATGTTGGGCTTTGGAGTGTCCCTTTAAACCGTCATAAATTCCGTGTTCAACAATTCCAAGTACTGATATATGTTAATCCAGGAAAAGGGAAAACACAATGACATTTTTCACAATGCATTCTAAAGGGATAAATATTCATTGTTTCCATGGTCCAGAGGCAAACTAATATTTTCCTGGATAGGCATTCCTTAAACTGAGTTACTTTGCCTATTCATTTATTTGTATGTTTGCTACAAAGTAAGTCTGGCTATTTGTTTTTGCTTTTGATAACAAATAGCCAGACTTACTTTGGTCCGAGTTGTCAGCATTTGTCAGTGAGTTAGGTATGGTATGAAGTCAACCACAAAACTATTCATTTCTGGGTTTCAAAGGTTAATTTGAGCTCGGAAATCTCTACTCCTGGTGTAAGTTTTAACAAGGTATTAGAAGTTGCCAATTTTAGATACTGGGTACTGGGGCTAAACATTGTAGAAGTAGATGTGTGTTCTTTATACATCAAAGGGAAAAACATTGTGTTTAACTGCAAACACTGCAAACTATAAGCAGCTCCTACTTCAAACCCAGAGTGATTAAGTCAGAATCATGCAGGATATTTCCAGAACTCATAGAGCTGAATATGGATAAGTATCATATGTGGGTGTGCTATGTGCTACATGTATAGAAAGTATGTGATATTGTATATAGCATATATGTGCTGCATGTCTATAGAATGTATATGCTTTATGTCTATGTAATATATATGCTGCATGTATACAGGATGTAAATGCTGCAGGTATACAGGATCCATATGCTGTGTGTATACATAATGTAAGAGCTGCATGTATACAGAATTTAACTGCTGCATGTATACATAATGTATACACTGCATGTATATAGAATGTATGGGCTGCCTGTGTAGAGAATGAATGTGATCTACACAGTATGATAGAGAATGTATGTGATATACACAGGATAGCATGTTAGGGAGCTTTACTCTAAACAACTATAAGGTCAACATTAAGAAAAGCTATTTCTTGATTTTGGTAATTTAGTTGTTTAGTAGATTGCTCCCTAATCTGGTAGCATTACGTGGAATTGTCAACACAACATCTCACTTCATAATGGAAATGCCAAATAAGGATATCAAATTGAGCTATCTGCTAAACAAGTGAAAGGTGATGTTTCATTTGCTTAAAGACAAGTACCTGATTTGTTAACTTTCACAATGGTAAATCCACATAAAGATACCAGATTAAGAAGCTATTTACTAATTTATTTACCCATTTATTAACGTTGCTGTTTTTTGTTTTTTTAATTCTTTATTTTCGTTTTGGTGCATCAATATCACATTTTCATACAGACGTAACAGAGATCATTCTGTGAGATAAGTGCACCATTTTGGGTCAAGCAATATCAATTCAGGTATTACAGAAACAATTTGAACAATATGTAGAAAAATACAGTTGCTTTGTGTTTTTGGGTGACTGTTAAGACAAGGCGTGCTTTTGCAGTATACGCGTTCGATAGTCTTGGAGATGTTAACTTTTTGCGTGAGTGTGTGGTAGTTGGGCTGTTCATGAGGGGGCGGGTATGTGGTGTAGTGTTAGCCCTATGTGCAAAGTTGAATGTGTGCCTATATGCCTTAGTGGTGTGGTGCTGTTTGTCGTTAGTGGTTTATCTAGCTTGGGTGCCCCTGATCTAGGAGGTGGCGGGAGGGGGTGTGATCCTATGGTGTCCGCCTGGTGTTAGGGTTTGCTGTGTGTGGGCCTAAAGTGTGTTGTACAGCCCGGGTCTCTGTGGATGGGTTATTCATTTGTTAACCTGTGGAGGTAAAGCATATGTATCGGGAAAGGAAGAAGAGAAGATTGTATGTCCATTGACACAAACGGTTGTCTATAGGCTATTAACTATTTGGAACTCTAAGGCACGGATGTGCAACTGTTGTATTGGCAAAGCTAGTCATAGCAGCTCCCAATGTTCATGGTACTGGGTGTTGCGATCCACTGGGTCTTGGTTCGTGCTGAGTGGTGCTCTCAGGGCCCCATGTCGCTTCGAGCGGGCTTCTTTGATGTGTAGTCGTCGGGTTAGGCAGTCCCAGTGCTTCCTCCACTGAGGTCAATACATGGGTAGTTCCCTCATGGGTTACTTCTAGAGTCCCATTGGCGCCCCATCTGTGGGCAATACCCGCTGATCGGAGTCGTGTGGTTAGTGGTCCGTAGCTTTGCGCCATAAGACGGTGGCTTTCAAGAGGTCTTGAAAAAACGTTAGTGAAGAGTCTTCAAACTTTAGTGGCGTCTTGTCTTTCAGACTTGCCGTGATGTGAAGCTTGTCTTGCACTGTGACGCATCTGAGGATGACGTCTCTGGCTGCTTTGTTTTTCAAGTGGGTTAATGT